AATTAAGAAAACAAAAAACTGTGATTCAAAACTACATCGACTCCATCGATCAATATCAACAACCTCTAAGGCATCCTATCAAGTTAGATGAATACATGGTTGATTTATTTCTTGACTCAGAGTCAGAAAAGGATAAGAGTATTCCAATTGAGACTTCCCGAGTTATAAATAATAAGGCGGAAGGGCTGCAAGAGGACACAATGCACCTCTTGCTATTTATAAAGCCGATGTAGAAACACCATCCAAGGAAGTACATCATAAACCAACACCTTTCACTAATTCAGGTGAAGAATTACATTTTTCTGATGAAGAAAGTGATCAGTGATTAAGAATTACATTTTTCTAATGAAGAAAGTGATCAATGATTAAGAATTACATTTTTCTGATGAAGGAAGTACATCATACACCAATATTTGAATAGAAGTATTGTGTTTCTTCAGGGATTCAATGAGCAAGGGCAAAGAACCCTAGGATCTTTGGTTTTACCTCTAAACTTTGGGGAACTTAATACAGAGGTGACACTTCACAACATTGATTCCAACACATCAAACAAAGTACTTCTTAGAAGACCATGACTCCACGAGTATGGTATAGTGCCCTCAATACTTTATCAATGTATGAAATACATTCGAGATAATGAAGATTCTCGCATTGATGTTGATGAACAACAATTCTTCATGCACGAAGTCAAAATCTATGATGACGCCATGTACTTTTATAGCTCAAAAGCCAAAAGGCAGTGAACTTTCGAGAATTCAGGCCATTATGCTGGATAAGAAAAAGCTAAAAGATAAAGATAAGAATAAATTAAAGCAAGTTTATTAAGTACCTCACCACGGTAGTGATATCGAAGGGGGTGATATCTCCACAACTTTTAAGCCACCAATAAATGGTCATTATTTAAAGAAATATCACACATAAAGATGTTATGTTTGTAAATTTACCTAACAAATCTCAAGTCTCATCCGGAAAGATAGGAGGCAATTTTTTACATATTCTATTGTAATGAGGGAGATAAATTCAATTCCCTCCTGAAAATAGGAGGCAATTTTTATATTCTCCTATAATGCGGGGGATACATTCAATTACCTTCTAAAAGATAGGAGGTAATTTTTTATATTCTCCTATAATCCTGGAGATAAATTCATTCCCTTCCTGAAAAGCTAGGAAGAAATTTTAACCCTTTTGTCAAGTAAAATAAGGGAACTTTGAAATCTTTTACGCACATAAACCTAAGGGTCGAGCAAACCCCATGAGGTTCAACAAGCCCAAGGGTCGAACTTCAAAATTTTCTATGCTCATAAACCTAAAGGTTGAGCTAAATCCATAGTATTCAACAAGCCTAAGGGCCAAACTTTGAAATCTTTTACGCTCATAAACCTAAGGGTCGAGCTAAATCCATAAAGTTCAAAAAGCCTAAAGGCCGAACTTTAAAAACTTATATGCTCATAAACCTAAGGGTCGAGCTAAAACCCATTAGATTAAATAAGCCTAAGGGTCGAATCTTATAAATTTCTTTTATGCTCATAAACCTAAGGGTCGAGCCAAATTTTAATTAGCTTTCCTAAAAGGTTAAGAATCAAATATAGGTTCAACAAGCCTAAGAGCTGAACCTCTAGCGTTGCAGCGTGTCTACTTACAACACCTCATGCCTATTTTTATCATTGCAGCACCTTTATCACATAAATTTTAGGAAAATTTAGCACCCCGACAAAGCTAAAGTCAACATCGTAATGCTTATTAGCGCTATTGTGCCAGATATTAGCATTGGAGCCTTAGGAAAATGAGTGCCAGATCATTGATTTTTATAGTGCTGTAGCCCCAAATTATACATTTAATCACCATAGTGATCAAATTTTATAGCACCGTGGTGGACCAGTTCTCATAACGAAGAGCTATGCCAACTCAGCCAAAAGACGCATTAGTTTAGCCATTTACGATGCCAGATCAGCCCAGCACTGCAACATAACAAACATTACCATACTAAGGTGCTAATTTATTTTATACCACTGCGGGGCAACCTTGTTGAGTGTCGCGGTGCCTGAGCCCATTTCTACACTTGTATAAATAGTTATTTAGTGTTTTGTTTGAGGAGTTATTAGCATTTCAGTAAGAGTTCTATCATTTAAATGGTGTCTTGTACTTTGTAGTGTCATCCTCTAGTTCCCCATTAGGGTAAAGTCTAAGGGAGGCTAGGGAAGAGTAAGATACTTTCATTTGGGAGATCTTAGCCCAAGCCCCCAACAATTTTACTCAACTATAGTGATTATATATCCTTAAGATTCTAAGTCTCTATCCACCATATGTCTATACATGGCATAATCTTGATTTAAATCACCTAATAATTCTATTATTCCTCTATCGATGCTATATATCACATTATGTGTTAAATTTATGCTAGAACTATACATAAACTAAATTAAGCTTGAATGATTTAAACACAACATTAAAAAATTAATGCAATTCAAATATAATCTTTAAGCAAACATGACTTTTAATTTTGTCATAAGCCCAAATATATGATTTAGCCAACCATAAAAATTAAATGAATAAAACACCATTCATTTTAAACAAAACAAAAGTATACGAGATAAATTAAGGAAAGATAGTACCTGAAAGTTCTTTACAAAAAAAATTACAAACTTTCCTTGCCTTAGAATTGATTTCCTTGGCTTGTTCTCCATCTTCCTATGCTCCAACACTGAGGATGAGCATAACATTATGATACTCTATTGGTGGTGCTATGACACTCCTTCAATTATGAAATATTTTTGCTTCTTTACTACATAAAATTTAGGTTTAAATAATATTTTTATGAAGAAAAGCATAATTTGGATGATTTTTTTTTACTTATCAAAAAACAAGTTACTCAAAATACCCGTATGACACTATATGTTAACGTAGTACACGTCGTCTCCTGATTGATCATAGGATGGTGAAGTTGATGATTAAGCTAGCTATATGTAATCAGGTGAGCTCAATTAGGGTGAGTCGGTGGAAGAGTTCAAGAGGAGGTGGACCCATAGTAGGCAGATCATCTTGATGGGTCCATGATTGATGTAGGAGGCTTGAGATCGCCTTCTCATGAATGGAGAGCAAACATGTTTGCGGGAATTAAGAGTTTCTAAGCCTAACAATAGTAGTCGCTAAGTGGAGTGTGAGATCTATAGGTAGGCATTTTCCTATATTAGAGTTTACCGAGTTTGTGGGAAGGATCATATTAAGATGAGTGAAGATCTTTTTGACGAATGAGAATCTTCTTGGTCGCCTTGCATAGGGTGAGCTCCAAGGAGAATGTGGGCGAGTGAGGGCCATTATTCTTCTGGGAAAGGTCCTCTAGTGGGCCCAAGTGAGTCCATTGAGAGATTTGTTCTTGAGAGGGAATACCCTTGTCCTAACCCAATCGCTACTTGTAAGAACACTTATAAAGGCAATTATGAGTATACAATATATATGTGATCTTTAAGAGCTCATTTTATAATGATATAGCTATTATGATTATACTCAACATATTACTATAAAAATATTGTGATTAGTTTAATATAATACACAATTTCTTCTTAAATTTTTATCCTCTTTTGTGTTTACCTTAGTATTATATCCATTGTTATTGCTTTATGCTATATTATTATTATCTATTTTTTAAATAGACTAAACTTTGTTCAAATATCATACAAATCTTATTAGAACATGCAATTTATTTATCTAATAAATTTTCTGTCAATTTCCTATTCAAATCTTATTCAAATCACATTCAAACCTTGATTGATTTTTTTTTTCCGATTAAGGTTTGAATAATATTTGATAATAAATTAAAGTTTTAAGCTCAAATCTCAACTTTGATGAAATTTTATTGAAGTTTGTTTGAATCTTGATTAAATTAATTTTAGTCATGGTAGATATAAAAAATTAGTAAATAGTCAACAATGGGTTTAATATTCTATTAGGCTACCTACAATTTGATCATAGGTCAAAACTTTTATCTTATATGGTTTTAACTTTGATTTAATTTTATTTAAATAGCATCCAAATGTTATTCTAATTAATTTTGATTGTCAGTACTTAAAAAATTAAAGGTATTATGATTAGAAAAAAAAATTAAATTTATTTATCCAAAAATAAAATAGGAAGCATATTTTTAAATTTTCGAAAGGTTTCAATTTTAATTTAATTTATTTTTTAATAAAAAAAGAGTTTTTCTCAAAAATAAATTTCAATTAAGAACCCTTGTTATTCACGAGCTATTAGGTCCAGTCACTAGACCTATTTTTTGGTTCAAACATCCAATAAAACATGCCACCTAGACTGCTTTTTGACTCCGCTTTTTTAACTGCGCTTTGACTACATGCGCTTTTAACGCGCCTGACTTAAAATTCTATGGACACGTGTACATTCTACGTGGCATATTTTTAGGGATGTCACGACCTAGAAATATAGGTCCGGTTAAAACGTGGGGTAGATGTTCTTTTGTTTAGGGCTGTCAAAACCGTGTCACGAGTCGGGTTAGGGTCCAATCTGAAATGGACCCGACACTATTCAACCCTACCCGTTTTTGCAAACGGGTCGGTTTTCCGAACCCGACCCGCTTCGGGTCCGGGTCAACCCGAACCCGATCCGATTCGGGTATATTTTATTAATTTTTTTATTTAATTCAATTTATTTAAATCTAAATCAAATTAAGGTAAGATTTACTTCAATTTATTTGAAATAAGTTAAGATTAATTTAATTTGGACAATAATGTTTATAATTTTTTGAAATATTATTTACTTATTTTATAAAAATCTATTAAAACCCTCCTAAATTAATTAAAAATGGGTCCAACCGGGTTGATTTCGGGTTTCCGGATCAACCCGAATCTCACCCGGTTTTACAAACGGTTTGAAATTCCTAATCCGAATCCGACCCAGTTCAGATAGGTACAGATTGACCCGAATCAAAATTTTGGGGTAAGATTCGGGTCGGATTTTCGGGTGGGATCAACACCCTACTTATTTACTTATTGATCTGTTGATGGTCGCAGCCCTCCGCATATCTATGCAACGACGAGGCCCCTTCCTCTGCTGGGCTCTCACTCTTTCTTCCCGAAGGCTTCTATGCAGGTGATTTCGCTCTCCATATTGCTTTTCCGCGCTGCTACTACTCCGTCTTACCACATTCAATTCTCTTAACTTGACTCTGGTTTGTCATCTATTAATGGAATTCTCCTTTGCTTGTTGATGTTAGCACTTGCAAGTAGCTTTTCACTAGCTAGCTGGTTTTCAAATTGAAACTTTTGTTAAAGAGTGGATGGGATAAACATAATGAGCTGTGAAGGCTGTTTCAACAGACCTTAAGAAAACGAAAGTAGTTCTATTTGAATCCTCTCCTAATCAAAGAGGCTGGGATGACTCTCATCCCCCTAGATTTTAGAAAAGCCTAATATGAGAATTTATTCTATAATTCCTTTGCAAATATGTATATTATAGAAGTTTTGCCTTTCTAAATTTGGAGTAAACTCTTTTGGTCGCTTTCAATTAAAATTCTAGTTGTGCCACTGCGCTAATCCTATTATACTTAGGTTAATTTATGAAGTGCTTATCAGTAGATGTTTGATCTTTCTGACTTATAGATTGATTGAACTTTTCGATTTCCAATGAGATTGCTTGACTAGAGCCGAGGAATTGATGGATACTGTTAATAAGCATGTGACGCGTGTACTATTTTGTGGATTTGATTTCTCATCTTCTCAGAAATACACACGGGAATATCTACAAAATCATCCATACATTCAGGTGATTTTCTTTTTTGATGTTGCTGTTATGTATCCATTTTTCATGCAAGTGTACTTTTTTAAATTTATTTATTTTTTGTTATTTAAAATTTGTCTTACAATTCTTCTTTTGTGTTTGTTGGTCAAGAGAACTTCTTGGATCAAGAGCTATGTAAGGCCGATTTAAAAGAAAAGTAGCAGAAGTAATCTAAAGGTATTAAATATAATTAAAACTTGAAATCATCTATGTTGCACCGATACTTCTATTTATGAAGGCGTTCCGTATCCGATACACGGATACGCCTCCAATACGACACCGATACGTGTCGGATACGATTCAAGAGATAATCATGCATAAACACCTCAAAACTTCATCCAATCACATTTCTTGCCTTTAAACCAATTTTAGCATGAATGGTTAAAAAAAAAAAAAATAAAAAAAAAAATAAAAAGAATGGTCAAGTCAATTCGTTGAACCTCTAGTGGTTATTTATAACTCCTCTAAACCACCAACAAACATTTGTCACCCTTAAGACCTTTTCCATTAAGGTCTTGGTCCCCAGACCTCAGCATTGAAGGGCTAGCATCTTTTGACATATTATTACCCTATTCTATTCAAGATATATAATAAGAGGTAAACTCATGATTGTTAATTAGAACCATTGGACAGTATAACCCACAACCCTCAGTCATTAATAAACTGAGTACATAAGGCTGATCCTAGAATGTTGAATAAATGGACCTAGATTAAGCTAGCCATCCATCCTATTTATTCCACCCAATTGTAAGCCTAATCTATTATCACTAATTCAATGTACAATTAATGTTATTAATTGATAATGTTTTCAATTATTAGGGATGAGATATAATTAATTATGAAGTTTGCATCTATGGGAAGCCTTGATCTCCCATATCTAAAATAAAGCTTAGTCAGCCTTATACCAGTCCACCAAGGACATAATGCTTTTTATTTCTTTAGAACCCTGTCTTATAATTCAGTTAGATTTTTCTTGCTCCTGTTCACCAGTAATATCATTTGTTCCTCTGCACTTGCTTTATGTTGCTGGACGACTAAAGTTAAGCGTGTTGCATGCCAATGAGCATGTCAGAACCTTCGGCAATTAACATTTGATCTCTTTGTTCACTTTGGATGGTCTGTCATCTTGAATTTCCCAACTATGCTTTTAGTTCTAGTCTGGTACAAATTGTCTCAAGAGACTGACCTTTTAGGATACCAGCATACAGAAAACTTTAAAGATTGTTTTACTTGAAAAAATATCTCAGTATCTTTAATATCTGATAATGCAACATTGAATTCAACTTTTCTATCATCCATGAATTTAACAGTAGGGCTAAAAAGATGGTAATGCGAATATATTAGAAGTTATGAAAATGGAAAAACCGATACTAATTAAAACATCCATGTCTTGCTAAAGGAACCACTTCAAATTGAGTGAGAAAATGAAGATGAAGTGCTAACTTGATTGTTTTGTCAGGTGATATTATATTGGAATATAATCTTTAAAGATTCTACAGGAGTGAAAGAAGGGCAAAAAGTGACTTATGTGTCTGACTAATATCTAGAATTCTAGATTATGTGTGCGCATGCAAGCATATTGGGCTAAGCTTTGAAAATCATATCTTACATTAAGTAACCAATAAAATGAAGTACATCTAAAAATTGTACCTACTAGGCTACTATGCAAATAAAGAATTGCTTTCTTTTTCAAATAATTCGTACTTTGTTTTGCATTTCTATTTAATGTAGAAATTAAAGGATTTTCTGTCCTTGGATTTGAAGAACTTTATTGGATATATTACTAGTCTCAAGTCTTCCCAAATTATAACTTAGCTGTTCTTAAAATTGCAGTAATTATTTTTACAACTATTACAATTTATAAAGCCATGAAAAGTAGGATGTCATATTTTAGGCAATCTGTTTATTCAGCTTATATATCAGAAAACGATTTTTTGAAAAGGTCATTCAGCCTACATGCAATGCCTCCATTTCATATGATGTACACAGAAAGTATTATTATTTTATAAGGTAAGCTTGTGAGAATTGGAGCTTAAAATTTCCATTTATGAGATTGAGCCCTTGTTGCAGGTTGATGATGTGGCCCTCGATGAGATCCCGTTCGTTATTCAAAATTATGATATGTGTGTGGTAAAAAATAGCCGTCTGGATGCAAAACTTATTGCTAGTGCAGTTCAGATGAAGCTTATAATGCAATTTGGTGTTGGATTGGAAGGTTCTTTTGTGCAGATAAATTTTTTGAAACATTATCTTTATCATTCTGTTTTTGAACTTTCTTAACTTTTCTAATAACCTCATACATATTATCATGATTTTAGTTAAAATTTTTTAATTATTTCTTTTTTGGAAGAGCACCTTGTAATGCTTATCAGTGATCAATTAATATGGTTGCCTAAGTTTAGGTGTTGATGTCAATGCTGCCACAAAACAGAACATTAAGGTTGGAAGAATTCCTGGAAGGACTACTGGTAATGCTGCATCATGTGCAGAAATGGCAATATATTTGATGCTGGGTCTTCTCCGGAAGCAAGTAGGTTACATGAGAAACATACACCTATCAGTTTTTTTTATTTATTTCATAATGGAAGCGTCTTATACTTCTTCATTATTTCTCTTGAAACATTGCCTTATTTCTTAGCTCACTTCTTCACTGGTTGTGGTGTTCAAACTTTTTAAACAAGGGTGATGATAAATGTTTTTTTAATAATTTTTTGTTGCAAATACACTTGTCATCAGTTGGATGGTTTCTTTTTTCCAGTTCTTAATTTTGTTTATATTCTGTGAGACCATTCGACAGCAAAAGAAAGTATGACACCTTTATTTCTGTATTGGCCCTAATCACCACCATATCTTAGTCATTTCCCTAGAAATTCTCGTATGCAAAACTTGAGCCGACATTCATATTCCTTAGCATTCATCTTTTCTTTATTTTTTTTTATTTTTAATAAAGATTTTCTCAGCTTGAGTTTTAATACACCTAACTTGATTAAAAAGTCTTAAGCTCTCTTATCTTTATTTATTTATTTATCTTTTTATTTTTCTTTTGTACTAAATCTATTATATAAATCATCAAATGATGTTAACTTTTTTAAGTTACTTCCTTGGAAAATTTCGAACATTATTTCATAAAAAATCTTAGTATTTACCTTGAATTGATACTTAAATATGGGACAAGAATATCATCATTTCTAATATGTTTAATTGCTTGACCATAATGACCTATTAGATAAATTAAGAAGCCTGTTTTTTTCTTGAAAGCTTTCCTCTGGTTGGATTGTTGCATATTTATTATGGAATATCTAAATCAACAAAAAAGTTAACATCAGCTGAAAATTTTCCTAAAAGTTTGCTATTAGTTTGCATTTTATGCAAGATGTTATTCACCTAAAATTATTGTCAATTAAATCCAAAGGTTAATTATTCCCTGGGTTATCAAAATTAGATGTAAACACTATTGCTTGATTAGTCAATGAGCTCGGTTGCGAATCAATGCCTTGAGGCCTCAAAATTATGTTTTTTTTAAGGTAACACAATATTTATTATCATTATTGAAACAATACAATACAAAGCAATGACAAAGCATTGCTAATTGAAAATAACTAAAAATAGAATATAAATAACAAGGACAAAAGAATAGATAAACTCCTAGGGGTCACATTAATGCCATGTAACTTGAGTAGTGTACTGTTTTAGTATTTCTTTCTTTTTGAGCATGTAAAATTTTGAACTTCTTGTTCACAAATTCTTTTGTCCTAAAAATGTTTACATTGGAGGCAACGGAAAGAGAGTTTTGATCACCATATTTCTATCGTTAAGATTGTCAGATGCAAGCACCATAGGAATGGTGAGTAGGTGCAAGGACTGGGCTAGCTACTTGGGATGACACTTAATATTAAGGAAGGATCCGAAGTTAATTTCATGATTTTAGTACAAATCATATAATGTAGACAAAACTGCCACCACTGCATCAAAAGATAAAATTTTATTAAATGAAAAATCTCCAATACCATGATTATTATGTTGGCAGCTATAGATCCCTAAAACATTCTGAAAAGTTAAATATTTTCCAAGAATAATAAAGAAGAATTATTTCAAATTCAATCTCCTGCCAACAATCATTACATGTGTAGCCAATCCAAATATCCAATTCGACCAAAACCCTAGCCCCTAATTACTTGGTAAGCCTAACAACAGAAACATCCATTTGAAGAGATTTGTTAAAATTGAACCAAGATAGTATAAAATGGATTGGTTAAAATTGTGAATTAGTATATGTAAAAAACACACCCAAACCAAGATGATGGAAGATTTCGGTGTACAATTAAATGATGCTTCCATTTAAGCATACGCATTAAGAACCTATTAACATAGTACATTCTTTGAGAAGAAGTTTTGAATAATTCGATTCTCAATATAACTTGATTAGAATAGGACAAGAATTGTTAAGTGATACATTATAAACCCCAACCAATAGCAAGTTGGCCATAAATAAGCAAATAATCTCCAAACTAGGCCCTTAGAAAATTTGCCAACTATGTAGTTGAACAATGGTGAAGCCAACTCAAATGTTAGCTCATTAGATTAGATGAGAGCATAGTTTCCTAGACATGAGAAGGTTGGTTGTGAGAGTCGATGCAGGTCCTTGCTGAAAAATTTGGGGAAATGAGAAGAAAAATGTATAGGTCCATGATCCATATCCCCCTTAACAACCTCATCAAATGATTATAGAGCACAGGATCATAGAGATACCATGGAGGTAGAAGCCTTAGGAATTGTAGCAATAAGAGAAGCATAACATGGTTGAACTTGAGAACCAGTCGGCGACATGGATGAAATATATATTTAATAAAGATCTAAGGCTAGAGGGATAGAGGATGCATGACTTCCAACATAAGAAATAAAGCAAAAATTGGGAAAAGATTGTCGATGATCAAGCTTCTCCAATGTTGAACCAACTTCATCATAATGTTAAAAATGATCATCTCCTTCCTCCATCATCCCTTCAAATATTATGAAGACGAGAATGATGCTATAGTGTTTGCTACTGTCTTCAATTGTTGAGGTCACTGAGTAAAGACTTAAGCCTGAACTCACGCTTTAACGTTGGCTTATTTCTAGATATGACACTGGTGTTATCATCTAACCACACTGTTATTATTCATTAGCAATTGCATGGCCACAAATGTTCTTTTCTAACCTTGGTGGAAACCTTGATGACATTATTGCTACGACCTCTTGTAACAACCTTTTGTTGATAACTATGATGTCCTTTATATGAAGACTTTTCATTAGTGGTCATAATTTGATTTTGACATTTTGATATGTTAGCCGACCATGCCTTTTCTCTGCCCAAAACATCTTCATAATTAATGCCATCAATAACTGCTTTATTGATGACAATTCTATGATTCTACAGGCAAATGTTGCCAAGGTAATGTCTAAGCTTCTATTGATTTCTAGGTTTTAGCAGCTTCTCCTTTTTGCGTATCATTATTTATATTCCCATCTATATTTGGGTGACCTAGTGAATTTAGAAAAGCTATGACAGCTTTGATTTGCTTGTTGATGCTTGTATTTAGTTGGGCGGATGTCATAGGCTCAGATGTGCTCATGATATTTTAATGGTAGGCTGAAAAATTAATTGATTGGTTTCATTCCTCTCTTCAGGCTTCAAGCACATACGCATACTCTAGAGGTTAATGATATTGGGTGAGCTAGTGGATTGGAGGGAGCACTACATCATACTTGATGATTGGTTGGTGAAACATGTATGGGATTTATAGCTATATTCTTCTGCTTCAAATAGATCATTGCAGCTATCCGTGCCATCATATCATTCATTCTAGTGCTAAAATAACAAAATTTCCTTAATATTTTGCCTTCATTTGTCATTGCATTTTTTGCATTCGAGCTAGCACAATGGTGTTAACATATACTAGCTCTTCTTCTCCCTCGTTATTCTTCTTGCCATCTACCATGGAGGAACATGAATTGTCTTCTTGTTTATATTGTTGCTGCCCTCTAGGAGGAACAACTGTAGGCCATGGCATCGCTGATAGACATATGTAATGGGCTTCTTATCGATATGTCCTACCAAATAAACCACTTCAGTCTCCATGATTTCCACCTCTTCTTTTTCTTTTCTTTTATTCATATTTTTTACAGTATGTTCATTGGATTATCAATTTGTGGAATAAAAAAATCCTTAATGAGGGGACTAAAGGTCAAAATTAACCTCCTTCTAAGAGGGTGGAGCTAAATGATGATGAGACACACTCAAAAGTTCACTAAAGTATTGGCCATCATTAGGATCATTATCAAGAACCCTTTAGGCGCCCATTGTTGACGAAATTTATCATAGGTATAGTTTTGGGACTATGCACATGATATCACACCCTTCATCTTCTTAGTAAACATTTTTTTCTTGAGGCTTTGGCTTTTACATCAGCTTTCTTTTCCACTTGGAATTTTTGGTAACATATTATTAGACTTGAGGTCCAAATGTCATGCCCCAATGTTCAACTTGCATATCATGTATGGATTGCTCTTGAATTACCATGACTAGGAGTATACATGAGTCAAGTCAAGTTTAAGTTACCTCTAGCTTTATTTTGAGGTTGATTAATAAATTGTATTTGAGCTTGAGCATGAGCTTAATTCTATGAATTCATGTTTGCTCACAAGACGGTGGGTTTATAATGAAGGAGAGAAAATGATTATGATTCAAGCAATTATTATAATAAATCTATAAAAAAAGATTGAGAAATAAAAATATAAAGATTAAAGAATCACTTAATATAAAAAATGAAATAATTTTTTATGTTTCTAATAGCTTGTTACTTAAACTCTTGAATTCTTATATATTTTAAAAGGATTTTATATTAATATTTTTTTTAACGAGACAGCTTGCAAACTAACGAATTGAATTGAGGCTTTGACTCAAGCTTGACTCGTTAACTCATCGAGCTCGATTTACGAGCCATTTATTGAGCCGAGCTCAATTCGGCTTGACTTACACGGCTAACCATGATCGATGACAATGTTGACTATCATGTTATAACCAAAGGAAAACAGATGAAGAAGATAGCAAAGCAGAAATCCTGTATAAATCTCATACCCGTCGGATCCTCAAAACCTTGTCGAAATCGCGCCGATTCGGCGCCGTTCACGTCAAAACAGCCGCAAATCCTGCGACGTTGCCTCGATCGAACGACCACAAGCATCGTTAAATAGAAGCCGAATGCCTCTCAGCTCTTGCCCACGCGATCGAGCTCCAGTCGCTACTCCCTCTCCACGCTCGACTCCACTCCCCATTTTACAATCTCCCCTCTATCTCCACTGAATCCCAAGCCTCTGCCTTTGCCCGACCTCCTTGCTCCTCCGACCTCCCATCCGATCCACAGAGAGAGAGAGAGAGAGAGAGACCTACCTCATTCGACGACTTTTCCTGCTGGTCCGATCGGAAGTAGCAACCGGAGCTCGCCTGTGTGAAGATAACTTTCTTCCGTTCGGATGCTGCTTCGGCTCCAT